CTCTATAAGCACTCAAGCTACAAGTTCAAGATCAAGATCAAGAACGAAGGCAAATCAAATACCAAGGCGTTCAAGATCAAATTACTTGTTCGTGATCAAACTTAAATTCAAGTTTAAGAAGGAGATTCAAGACCAAGCTCTACAAGCCCTTGAATCAAAATCAAAATCAAGCTCATCAGGATAGTTTATATTCTTGAAGAATCAGAGAAATACCATAGAGATTGTAACACTCATCATTTACTGAAATCAAATACTACATTTGTTGCGCAATTTTCTAGTCTTGATTATTTATTTTTCTCGACGCAAAAATTTGTTGTTACAAATTTCTGGCACGCCTAGTGGGACAATCTCTACCCCTCATTTCTTCAATTATCAAATTTCAAGAACACAGAAATGGCTCCTGAGAAGATCAACTTCAAACTCACTACTACTAAGGCTACGGATTCCAAGTTTTTATCTGATGTGGAAAACTTGCTGGATTCTACTATGGAAAGCGTAGGACCTGTTACTAGGTACAAGGCAAACTTGATGGGACAACAAGCATTTCAAATGTCGTCTGCATCAGTTCCTATCTCTGATTTTTGATCCTCAAAGGGGGCAAGATCATTTCCAACTTAATTGGAAGAAAGAGCGAACATTGCTGAAATCATTGAGAAGACATTGGCTCTACTTATCCAATCTAGATCTAAGAATCTCATAACACAAGATGATGATGATGTCTTGATCAATGGATCTGCTCCAAGCACTCCACGTGAGTTGTTCCACTCAAAGTATGGTGTAAGAGAAAATTCATGCTTTGCTCCACCATCCACGACAATTATCCAAGCAATGGTGACTAACACTTCAAATGTTGAAGAACAACTCGCAAATTTAACAAAGGCAATTGAGGGGTTGACAAAGCATATGCAAGATCAAGATAATCAAATTGTCAAGCTGACAGATAGAGCTGAAAGCATGATAGGGGGAGATTCAAGTCATGCACCTAGAAAGCTCCCTATGATGCAAGATAAAGGAGACTCATCTGCAAGGCAGACAATGACTCCTAAAGAATTTCAGATTTCATCTGATGGGGTTATTCACATTGACCAATTGAAAGACTTCATCATGGGAACCATCAAAGATAAGTACGATGTTGCTGCCAAGTCTTCTCTCGCATATGCGAAGCTATACACTGCGAGAATTGATAGTTTGAAGATGCATGCAGGTTATCAACCCCCAAAATTTCAACAATTTGATGAAAAAGGAAATCCAAAGCAACACATTGCACACTTCGTCGAAACTTGTAATAATGCTGGAACCTATGGAGATTATCTTGTCAAGCAATTTTTCCATTCCTTAAAAGGAAATGCTTTTGATTGGTACACTGATCTCGAGGCTGGTTTCATCGATAACTGGGATCAACTTGAACATGAATTTCTCAATCACTTCTATAGCACAAGGCGCACTGTAAGTATGGTTGAACTCACAAACACGCGTCAATTGAAGGATGAACCAGTCATTGATTTCATCAATCGATGGAAAAATGCAAGCCTCAACTGCAAAGACAGACTTAGTGAAGCTTCTAGAATAGAAATGTGTATCCAAGAAATGCACTGAGGACTCATCTACATCCTACAGGGTATCAAGCCTTAAGTCTTTTGAAGAATTGGCTACACGTGCTCATGATATGGAGTTAAGCATGTCTTCAAGTGGAAATCAAGGGCCACCTGTTTATGAACCTCGTAAAGTGAAGGATAAACAAGAAATAAAGAAAGGAGGCAAGTTCGTGCCGAAGTCTGAGAGCAAGGAATCAATGAATGTTAATGCCTCGCCATTAAAGGTCACTACAAAAGTGAGTAAGAAGCAAAGTATGAAGACAACGTCCTTACAGGATGAAGTTGGCCGAAAATTAAAGCTGAAGGAAATGCAAGCGAAAGAATATCCATTCTTGGACTTTGATATTCCAGCAATTTTTGAAGAACTCCTTGAGTTGAAACTCATTAAGTTACCTGAAATGAAGCGGCCGACGAAGCTGAAAGGACTAATGATCCAAATTATTGCAAGTATCATCGGTTGATTGGCCACCCTATTGAAAAGTGCTTTGTCTGCAAGGAGTAAGTCATGGACTTGGCCGCTGAAGGAAAAATCTTGCTTGAGTATGAGAAAGACAGTTCGAATCAAGTCTCTTTCATTTTTAGTTCACTTGATCCCATTTTCCTTTGCAATTTTGTCGAAGTACATGAATGTGATGGCATCCAAACTGCATCATCACCAGATATGATTAAATTTGGTACTTTGAACCTATGGATGTGAGAAAACCATTTCTTCTCCCTATAGTGTATAAACTAATAGTGGAGGAAAGATCTCAAGAGGAAGGTGAATCACGTGATGATCAAACTGATGATAAATGTTGGATTCTTGTGACTCAGCAGAGACATTGCAAGCCAAATTCACAAAGGGAATCAAATAAGCAGTTGACTAGGGGGAAAATGGTGAAAATACCCAAGAAGCAAATGATAAAAAAGAATTGGAAGAAAACAAAAATGGCGGAGAATCACTATCAAAGGCTACGCCGTCCCGTAACATTGGATGAATTCCTGCCAAGCTGGTTAAGCATGCAAGCTTCATGTGAAAATATCAAGGCCTCATGTTGTAAGATAGATGAAGAAGAGAAAACAAGGAGGATCTATCATTGATGCCACCTCTATTACCTGAAAAACTCACTGAGAATTCTGAAGAAGTGGACATTTGTGATGCAAAAATCACATTTACTAATGATGATCCTTTGCTTGGTGAAACACACCATAATCGTCCCTTATTTATGGTTGGCTTTGTGCGAGAACAGAGAATAAGTAGAATCTTGATCGATGATGGATATGGCATCAATATGCTCCCTATTCGTACTGTCAAAGAGCTTGGCATACCGATGGATGAACTATGTGAAAGTCATTTGATGATTCAAGGGTTCAATCAAGGGGGGCAAAGATACGATCCAAAGATTTCTGCGAATAAATTGGTAGAGTTCTGGTGCAGAAAGATAATGAAGTATACTCAGCCTCCATTAAGGAAAGAAAAGAAGTCTGCTCATTTAAACTCGACGCACAATCCTACCGGGGCCATAGAGGAAGCAGTTAATTGGTTGATTGTTGAAGAAGCCTTATTCCATAAGTTAGGAGTTATGGGTTATAGGGGCTATCAAATTGGAAATAAATATGAGAGATTTGCATTCGAGTGCATGAATGCACGTGATCGATGCAAAGACCTCATATAATATCTTGTTAGGAAGGCCATGGATACACAAGAACAAAGTGGTTTCATCCACCTACCATCAGTGCTTGAAGTAATGTGAAGATGGGGTCGAAAAGAAGATAGTTGCTGATGATAAGCCCTTTACCGAGGCTGAATCATACTTTGCTGATGTGAAATTCTACTTAAAGAATTATATCTCAAAGGAAGTTAACGTTGATGACGTGACGCCAACCAAAAGTGTTGCAAAGAAGGTTGATGTCACAACTAGCAAGGCAAAGATTACGGTTGAAAAAGATCAGGTGCTTTATGATAGGAACAAGATGAATGAAGCATCTTCAAGTAAGAAAGTGGCTCATGTTCTTCGCTATGTCCCAAAGGCAAGGAAGGTTGAAGATCCATCTTCTGAACTACAAGGTAATGTGTTAGGAGACTTGACCCTTCCTATCAAGCTAATTGATGCAATTAAGTCATCTACAAAGTTTCTTAAAGGGTTTGTCAAATCATCAAACCACAATTCGCTTCGAAATCTAGCACTTCCTGCAAAGCACACAGATGAGGGCTTTGACCCAAATACCTACAAGTTATTAGCAAATGCTGGATATGATCCGAATGAACCATCCAAGTTGGGAAAGCTCTAACATAAAGCTTCAAACCCTACTCAAAAGATGATGATGGAGAAAGGGTACCCACTGAAGCAATCACGTGAAGGATTGGGTTACAAACAACCTCTGCCAATCCGTATCTCCATTAAAAGGGCAAGTTGTAACTACATTACTGCTAAAGAAGTGCCTACGACGCTTAATAAGAAGTCTTCTGTGTTTGATCGACTTGCGAAACCAAGGACCTCAGTCTTTTATAGGTAGGGACCACTAAAGAAGGAGAACAAGCGTCATGGAAGTGATAGAAGGATTGGAGGACCTATCTTCACTAAAAAGGAGATTTTGACCACAGACTGCCCAAGCCTGATTCCTTCTAGAATGAGGCGAGAGACCAAACTTGTAGTTTCGTGCGGAGAGGTCCTCAAAGAAAAGGCTTATACTATAGTCCACACTAAAGAATGGGAGGAAGATGAAGAAAGTATGGGGTCATCATATCATATCACCATTCATGACGAACAAAATGCTTCATCTTATGTGGAAGTCGAGAAAAAGTGCCTTGATATTTATGTATGTAATCACATATCTTTCAATGATGGTGATCCTCAAGAGGATGAAGACGCTAAAGATGCACCACCTGAGCTTGAAGAAGGGGTGAAGACAACGGTTGGTGCACTAAAAGAAGTCAATCTCGGAGTAGTTGAAGATCCAAAGCCCATATATGTAAGTGTCTCTCTAACTGGTGATGAAGAGAGCAAATATATTGAGCTACTTAAGGAGTTCAAAGACGTATTTACTTGGAGCTACAAAGAAATGTCAGGTTTAGACCCCAAGGTGGTTGTTCATTACCTTGCTGTCAAATGAGGTGCTCGTCCTATGAAACAAGCACAACGTCGCTTCAGAACTAAACTGGTTCCCTTGATTGAAACCGAAGTTAACAAGATTATTGAGGCTGGTTTTGTTCGTAAAGTTAAATATCCTACATGGATTTTAAGCATCGTCCCTGTAAGAAAGAAGAATGGCCAAATCTGAGTTTGTGTTGACTTTAGGGACCTAAATAACGCTTGTCCTAAGGATGAATTTCCTCTTCCTATCCCTGAGCTCATGATTGATGCAACGACTGGATATGAGGCGATGTATTTCATGGATGGTTAATCAGGATATAATCAAATTCACATGGCACCGAAGGATGAAGAACTTACTGCCTTTCGCACCCCTAAAGGTATATACTGCTACAAGGTAATGCCTTTTGGTTTGAAGAATGTTGGTGCTACATATCAAAGTGCCATGCAAAATATTTTTGATGACATACTTCATAAAAACATGAAGTGTTATGTTGACGACTTGGTGGTAAAGTCAAGGAAGAAAGATGGTCACTTGCAAGATTTGAGGATGGTATTTGAATGGCTTCGGAGATACCAACTCAGAATGAATCCGTTGAAGTGCGCCTTTGGAGTTACTTCTAGGAAGTTCTCGTTTTTATTGTTCGACACTGAGGTATCGAAATTGATCAAGCTAAGGTGGATGCTATCTTGAAAATGCCCGAGCCTAAGGATATTCATGAACTAAAAAGCTTACAAGGTAAGTTGGCATATCTTAGAAGATTTATTTCGAATCTGGATGGAAGATGCCAACAATTTAGTCGCCTCATGAAGAAAGGGGTTCCTTTAGATCGGGACCAAGCTTGCAGAAATGCTTTTGAAAGCATTAAGTCTTATCTGATGAAACCTCCAATACTGGCAGCCCCATACCTGGAAAGCCATTAATATTATACATTTCAGCACAGGAAAGGTCAGTGGGAGCACTACTAGCTCAAGGAAACAACGAAGGCAAAGAAAACGAACTTTATTACTTGAGTAGGATGATGACGCCAAATGAGCTCAAGTATTCACCTATTGAGAAGTTATGTTTGGCACTTGTCTTCTCCATTCAGAAGCTGAAGCATTACTTCCAAGCTCACGTTGTGCGACTCATCTCAAGAGCGAATCATATCAAGTTTGTCATGTCTAAACCAGTACTAAGTGATCGATTAGCGAGGTGGTACCTCCAATTTCAACAATTTGAAATTGTGTATGTTCCTCAAAAGGCGGTAAAAAGGACAAGCATTAGCAGACTTCCTAGCTGACCATCCAATTCCAAATGATTGAGAGTTGTCTGATAAATTGCCTGATGAAGATGCAATGGTCATAGAAATTCAACCTCCTTGGAAGATGTATTTTGATGGCGCTGCACATCGTGAAAGAGTTGGCACTGGAATAGTGTTTATCACTTCTCAAGGAGAAGTTTTGCCATATTCTTTCACACTGACACAACAATGCTTCAATAATGTTGATAAATATCAAGTACTCATACTTGGGCTTGAAATGGCTGTGGATATCAAACAATTGTAACTATAAGTTTTTGGAGACTCCAAGTTAGTGATCAATCAAATTTTGGGTAGCTATAAGGTCAAGAAGCCAGACTTGGTGCCATATCATAAATATGCTCAAAGATTGGTAAGTTGGCTTGGAGAGGTAACTATTCAACACGTGCCGAGAAAGGAAAATAAGAGAGATGAGGCATTATCAACCTTAGCTTCTACATTATCTTTGCCTGATCAAACACAAGTCGTTATTTGCCAAAGATGGATAGTTCCTCCACCAAATGACTATGAGAAAGAAAAAAGCGAAGTCGAGCATCTTGCTTCTGTTCTTGAGGTTGAAATTGAAGATTGGCGACAACCATTAATCGATTATCTTTGTTATGGGATATTGCCAGAAAATCCCCGAAGGAAGACAGAAATTCAAAGGAGAGCCCCTCGTTTTCTTTATTACAAGGATACACTCTATAGACGATCATTTGATGGGGTGCTCTTATGTTATTTGGGGACTGATGAATCCCTTCAAGCCCTGCAAGAAGCACACTCTGGAGTATGTAGTGCGCATCAATCTGGGCCAAAACTTTATTTCCACATAAAAAGAATGGGGTATTATTGGCCAACTATGGTGAAAGATTGTTTAGATTACGCTCGAAGGTGTAAAGCTTGCCAATTCCATGCTAACTTCCTACATCAACCACCTAAAGTATTACACCCAACCGTTTCTTCTTGGCCATTTGATGCTTAGGGTTTGGATGTTGTTGGTACATTGCCAAAGTCTTATGGTGGACATCTATACATTTTGGCTGCGACTGATTACTTCTCAAAGTGGGCTGAAGTTATTTCTCTTAAGGAAGTAAAGAAGGAAAATGTGGCTAAATTCATCCGAGTCAATATTATCTATCGCTTTGGCATTCCTCGATATATATTGACGGACAATAGTAAGCCATTTGATAACAAGTTGATGAATAAGATATGTGATCTTTTTGGCTTCAAGCAACGCAATTCCTCCATGTATTATGCTGCTGTCAATGGACTTGCTGAAGTATTTAACAAGGCACTCTGCAACTTGTTGAAAATGGTTATCTCTAAGTCTAAGAGAGGTTGGCATGAGAGAATGGAAGAAGCTCTTTGGGCATACAGGACCACATATCGCACACCAACACAAGCGACTCCTTATTCACTTGTTTATAGAGTTGAAGCAGTCCTTCCACTTGAGCGTCAAATCCCGTCATTGCGGCTTGCCATTCAAGAAGGACTCACTGATGAAGAAAATGCCCGGTTACACCTTGAAGAATTGGAAGCTCTTGATGAAAAGAGTCTAGAAGCTCAACATAGCCTTGAATGATATCAAGCTCGCTTGTCTCGATCTTTTAACAAAAAGGTGCGCCTTAGATCTTTCCAAGTGGGTGACCAAGTTATTGTGGTCAAAAGGCCTATTATTACCTCTCGTCGATCTGGGGGCAAATTCTCTGCTAAGTGGGATGGACCATATGTTGTACAAGAGGTATACTCAAGTGGCGCTTACAAGATAGTTGACTCAGAAGGTTTGCAGATTGGCCCCATCAATGGGAAATTCATGAGGAGATACTATCCTTGAAGAAAACAAATATGCTCCTTAACGCATGAGTATAAACTGCATGTTACTCTTGCCCCGCAAGAGTATAAACTGTGCACGACCCACAAAAAAAAAGTCCGTTGGATTGAAAACCTCGAAATAGGTGGCCTAGGCAAAAGTTAGGACATTAAAAAAAAATCTCACCCATTTCGAACTACGGAATGACTTGATCCTCTTCACCGAGGTACGTAGGCAGCTTAGAGTTTCATTCTAAGTTCAGTCATATGAGTTCAAAAAATTATATATTACCCAAGGCATTATTCAAATGAAGTATGATAGGATATAATCCGCTTGATTGACACTTGAAAATTGGGTGTACATATATTCTTTCGTTGAACCCTCTGTCTTGTCTTGATGGCTCAATGGGGGCAAGCCCTCCATGTCAAATTGAGGTCTTTGATGGAATGATTGTAGTTTCTTTAATAAGAGGCTAAATATTCAAGTTGAAGTCTCCAATTATAAGTCAAGTTGATTTTTCCAGGTCTGTTACATCATCAATTTGAAGTGTTCAAGCCGGCTAGTTCTTAAAGTTACAATCTTCAAATCCGTCAAGTCTTCAAATCCATAAATCACTTTAAAAAAAATTAAGAACAAAAGGGAACATTAATGAGAACGCACAATATAAAGTGAAGCAAAAGAAGTTTTATTGCTGATGAGAACATCAACTAAACAATCGAATGCAAGAAAGAAGGAAAAAACAAATAAAGCAGTGTTTATAGCCTAATCTAAGCACAACTTGTAGTTGGCCAAATCTTTGAGCATAGCTTCTAAGTATTTCTTCTTCTTCTCCAAATCAGCCAAATCATCAGCAGTCAACAAGGCATTGTAGCATGCGTCATACTCCTTTCTAGTAGTTGAGGCTCCTAACTTGGCTTCTTAAACTTTTTTCTCAGCAACTTCTAAAAGGGCTTCTAAGTTCTTCTCTTGTCCACAGAGCTTCTCTATCTTCTCTTTCACTGTAACTAGGGACTGACGGATAAATAACACTTCTCTAACCTTCTCTTCTTCTTCTTCTTCAATCATGGCATTTGGAAGGTGTACCTCAACATCTGATATTGCAGTCTCTTCAACCTTCTCAGATAAAGCTGATCGTGTCTTGTTATATGAAGCAGGAAGCTCAAAAAGGAACTCCAATAGGTTTCTCAAAGGGGAAATATCCACATCATCCCCATCCATTGCCTCAAGGTTCACTTTAGTATTTTCTTCAAGCTCAGAGACCTTGTCTGCATTGCTACCTTTCAGCTTACGCTAAATCGAAGCCCAAAGCTTCAAGATAAACTCCTTTCGAATATCCAAGACAACCTTCTTTTCATACAAAACAGACGCTGCAATTGCTGGTCGTTCACGTAAATCAGAGCCCAACTTCACCCTAATTCCATCATGAGAAATAGAAGTTGCCTCTTGATCTGCCTTAGCTGTGGAAGATGATTTTTGCGGGTTCGGTCCTGCTACGGACTCACCACTATCTTGTGGCCTTACTCGTTGCAACGCTCCAATGTTATTAGCCTGCAAAAATAAAAAACAAATAATGTAAGAACACTTTAGCAAAGTTATTTGGCCATGGCTAACAAAAACGAAAAGTTTATGTTTTCATTTACCTTTTCGTTTCGAGCTGTTAGTGTTCTTGAAGGGCTATCAATGCTTTGGATCTCTACAACTTCTTCTGGGTTAGGGCATTTCTTTTTTCAATATTAATCTCCTTTGCTGCTATCACTCTCCTCTTGGGATAGGCGCTTGTTAGAGGCATCAATGACTACATCGAATGGAATGAGACTTTTGTCAACTGGAGCACGTATCTCTTCTCTTTGAACTTCTTTATGTAGCATGGGTCCGTTGCATGCGCGCATCTGAACTACTTTAGACTTTAAAATAGGGAGCTTATCAATCACTAAGATATCCTTGTTGCGGTCTTGAAGGGTATTTATGGTTGGCTCAACAATATTCATCAAAAATTATAAGTAGTCTTCAAGAAGGCTTTCATGCGCCCTTGCCCACCAAGATCTATAGTTAGACGATGTAAACTTCTTCATGTTGGACCCAAAAGGAGAAAATACTGACCTTGACTTAGATCTAGTCAACACATAAATTTGTGCAAGTCTTAACCCTTCTTCTAATGAGGCCTCACGAAAATCTCGCTCCAAGCGACCAGGGGTGTCTTGATGAAAACAAAATTGGCGGCTAAATCGATGAGGGTTGTAAGGTTCAATAATAAAGTTGACTCCGTCCCTCAAATGAAGATAATTCGAGCGAATACTCATAAATAAATTTAACCCGAACTCATCTTTCTTACCATTGTCATAGTAGTGGTACGGATCAGATCTGCGGGGCATTATCGAAGTCCAAATGATATTTTCTCCATTATGTATACGCTTCCTTGCTTCCTCTTTCCCAAAATATCTAGCAGCGCCTTCACCAGAATATGCGGCCATGAGAGGAAGAACTGGCCCCTTTGCATACGAAAAATGAGTCTTAAAGTAATGGGCTAACCAACCATACACATAATGAGCTGGAAAGCAAGCTTGGGCAGGATCAAGCAACGAGCACTTTGAAATCTTGTTCAAACCCTTATATATTCTGGCTAAGACCGGGACTGCAAGGCTGACTCTTCGTTTACAAGTAAGATGACACGCGATCTTAAAGGTCCTAGGACAAATGAAGTCACCTTCTTTTGAAGGGAGCACAAAAATACATAACCAACAAGATAGAAAAGCAGCCAAGTATGAGCTACCTCCCTCTCGAAGCCGATGGAAGGCGTCAAACAAATGCTCATAAGTCCGGGGAAGAAACCTTCTCCCCATTGTCGTACGTGCCTGTAAGCTCTTCAATATTTGGCACAACTTCCTCATAAGGATATCCTGTTATAGGCAGACCGCCGATCTTATAAAATCCCAAAGTGATATGGATAGTTCTCCAGTAGAGGTAAGCAATGTATTGGTAACAAGGAATCATGCCTCACAAAAAGCCTGCATAATATTTGTATTACGGTCATATGTGAAGAGTGAAGCATATACGACATCATAAATTCTTACACCCTCCAGGGTCAAGCGACACCTACTTAAGACGTCTTCTGCCCATTCCCAGTAGCCAGAAACATAATGAAATTCACCGCCGAACAACAAATCATTGCCCCAATAAGTTTCCTTGTTAATAATTTGACGCCCCAGGCATGGTAAGGTACTCGCAACATTCCAAGCATGATGATTAGTGGTGCAAAACATTCATGTCTTGGGAGGACGACTATTGTATTCAAGTGTCCAGTCTGCCAAATAAGGTGGGTCCTTCAAAGGTACCCATGAAGTTGCAGCATATTGGCCGACTAGTGACCTATCAACTGGTAACCTTGTCTCCACCTTGCTTCCCTTATGGTCCGAAATAATAAGGCATTGCGAATTAGAGAAAAAAAGTCTTGAGTCTTTGAAGTAAACTATGTTTAGACTGCAAAAAGAGAAAAGTGTTTATTAGCACTTAAATTAGAAGTGTAGTATTCATGGCCTTAAATCCATAATATAATCTCAAGACTAATCCTACCAAGTATGAAAATGTCAAAATCCTTTGCTTGGATGGTGTAATGGTCTTTGCCACAGATAAAGAAAATCAAATTCTCAGACAAGATAAATCTTTGGCTCAGACGGTGTAATGGTCTTTGCCTCGAATAAAAGTAAAATATTTGGCTTAAACAGTGTAATGGTCTATGCCACAGATAAAGTAAAGTCAATTCTTCAAACAAAATAGAGTATTCAGCTTGGACGATGTAATGGTCTTCGCTTCAGACAAAGTAAAATCTTTGGCTCAAACGGTGTAATGGTTTTCGCCTCAGATAAAGTAAAATCAAATCTTCAAAATAATATTTTTGGCTTAGACGGTGTAATGGTCTATGCCTCAGATAAAATAAAGTTAAATCTTCAAACAAGATTAAGTCTTTAGCTCAGACGGTGTAATGGTCTTTGCTTCAGACAAAATAAATTTTTGGCTCAGACGGTGTAATAATCTTCGCTTCAGACAAAATAAATCTTTGGCTCAGTCGGTGTAATGGTCTTTGCCTCAGATAAAAGTAAAGTCTTTGGCTTAGACAATATAATGATCTTTGCTACAGATAAAGAAAGTCAAGTTTTCAAATAAAATGAAGTCTTTAGCTCAGACGGTGTAATGGTCTTCGATTCAGACAATGAATCTTCGGCTTAGACGGTGCAATAATTTTTGCCTAAAATAAAGTAAAATCTTTGGCTTAGACAATATAATGGTCTATGCCTCAGATTAAATTAAGTCAAATCTTCAAATAAAATAAAACCTTTAGCTTAGACGGTGTAACGATCTTAGCTTTAAACAAAATAAAATCTTTGATCTAGACAGAAAAGATACAGTATAGTCTTCATCCTAGACGGTGTAATGGTCTTCGCTTCGGACCTTGAAAAACTTTCATCTCGTACGAACCATTGCCTCTGCCTCGTATGAAGTGATGTCTTTGCCAAAAAAGTAAAATTTCGGACATGGTAAAATTTTAATCACTTAGAATTTGCTGTTTTCTTGAATTCCGGCAAAAAAAAAAAAACACTGAAAGGAGAAAGGTCACCTGTCGAATTGCAAAGGGAGAAGACTAATACTGTTTCAATATCTTTTCTCGGGTCTGATTACCTGCAAGGAATCATGAACATTAGAATAAAGAATCAAGGACCAAGACCCTCAGAAGAAATATAGTTCCCATAATATATTCTATCCTGCTTGGCGGGTGG